GCACCGCACTCAGCCAGTGAGCGGGAACCGGTCTCCACATGGGATCCGAACCCTTGGCGGGAGCGCACTCCAGTGCGCCACCGGGCCGGCCCGTTCCCTCAGTTTTAGAAAGGCATCACAGTGATGCCAGCTACACAGACTACAGCCATGACCACAGCACGACCATACCACTCAGCAGGGCCACTACTGAGTTTCAGGGGCAGTCTGCTGTAGCCAGGAACTACCTGTGGACAGGACAGTAGGAGTCAGAGGTGAAGAAGGGGCAGGAAAATGCTGGAGAGGAGCAGGAAGACCTCCATATGTCCCCAGATCCAAGTACCCAAAATTGAGAAATAGCTATGTAAGATAGAAGTTGGCACAGAAATTGGCAATGTGATGCAGCCAGCTGTGGGTTGGGGGGAAGATGGGGGAAGGCAGTGACTGGGTTATTAGTCAGCTGAGCAGAAGGCAGTCACATGGGGCTTATTTTAAAGCCCCAGATGAACTAACAGACAGAAAAAGAAGCAGACAGAATCCCAGCAAGAAGGGACAGTTGCTAGGCTTTAAAAAAGTTGGGTGAACAATTGGTCTTTATTTGGTGCCAGATGCATCAGAGGCACAAGTGCAGATGCCATGATCATGTAGCAACACTTTTATTTAAGATTGCCATCCAGGTAATCCTGAACAAGTGTATATTAATTTGATTTATATTACCAGCAAAATTAAAACAATGTAAAACATTATCATAGAAAACTTGCGGCCCCCTCACCCAAAAGTATGTCTGTGAAGGGAGCCAAATTTGAGAAACACTGTCCTATATGACTCTCTTTTTATCCCCCCACACTTTGAAAACTTAAGAATCCCTTATCATGAAGTTTAATGGTCTGTTCTAGAATTGCAAGATAAGTTAATTTTCTTCTGTGGTCTATGTGAAAACAGCTAATTTTTTTTTTTTTTAATAAAGAAGTACTTACAGAGGACTCAGTAATTTTTGTCCTATTCTTTCTTTTCCATGTTTTGAAGACCTTAAGAAATGGTATTAATGTGAATACATCAACTGAATGCTTTATCCATGTTTGTCCCTGCCATTAAATAAAGACATGTGCTGCTGTCAAAAAAAAAAAAAAAAAAAGTTGGGGTGAGCTTCAAGAACATTCACTCATTCAGTTTTATATGTGTGTGTCTATACACACACATACACACACAAATATATACACATTTTTTTTTTTGCAGCTGGCCAATATAGGTATTGAACCCTGGAGCTTGGTGTTATCAGCACCACACTCTAACCAACTGGGCCAAAAAAAAAAAAAAAAAAAAAAAGTTGGGGTGAGCTTCAAGAACATTCACTCATTCAGTTTTATATGTGTGTGTCTATACACACACATACACACACAAATATATACACATTTTTTTTTTTGCAGCTGGCCAATATAGGTATTGAACCCTGGAGCTTGGTGTTATCAGCACCACACTCTAACCAACTGGGCTAACTGGTCAGCCCCTACTCATTTTTTGGCAACTATTATTTATTGAGCACTGCCAGGCCCTGTCCCAAATGCTGTGGACACTGCACACAACAAGACACAAAAAAATTCCCTGTATATCATAGAGCTTATAGGAAGTGGTAAGTGCTGTGAAGAGAATATATTAACATAATAAAAAAAAATAATACCCTATTTATTGAGCACCAACTGCGTAGCAGGAACTATGCTAAGCCTTTTATTTGCATTATCTTGTTTCCTCTTTATGACAGCTTTATGAGATGCTTTTATTATCCCTATTTTACAGAGGCAAAGACTAAGGCCCAACAAGAGAAAGTCACATGCCCAAGGACACACAGTAAGGGACAGGACTGGGATTCCAACCAAGATCTGTAGGGCACAAAAACTAGCACTGCAGGCAGGGTGGCGAGGAGTGGTACTGTCTCCAGAGGTCTTTACACAAAGCGGTGGAAGCCAAAGAGAAAAAAGGCATCATAACACAGGTTCCCTCAGTTTTGGAGAATCAGCACCGGATCTGGAGGGAGACAGGGCTCAGAAGTGGGCAGGGGGTTGAACTCATGTCTCCAGCTACCTCCCTTGATCCCACCTACCATACAGTAGGTAACCAGAGGCATGATCCATACTCCATGGGGTGAGAGAAGCAAGGGGCCCATTGATCCTCACTGTGAATAGCTCTGACCAAGGCAGTAGGAAGCCTGGCATGGACAGATCATGGCCCTAAGCCTACCTCTGCCTTGGCTGGGGTAGAGAGAGACAGTGGACCAGCCCTTGAGGCTCCTGAGCTGGGCTAATCTCACTCTGAGAAACTTCCTAGAGAGGTCCCTTTCTCATCTGGACACCCTCAGCAGTGTCCACCCTCCCCTCATGCTGCTGGCTCCCCACCACCACAGGAGCACAGAGCAGGGGCAGGAGCGAAGTGGACTATGCCGATCCAGGCCCAGCGGACTCTTACAGAGTGAGGTGGGTGGTGACTGTCCCCACAGAGAGCAGGTTGTATCAGCAGTGAGCGCTGATGGCTAGGGAGGAGAGGATGGACGAAAACCTGGGGAGGGGGCAGGGGCAAGTTAGGCCCCGCACCATCGGCCTCGCCCCCAAGCTACCTGGAGTTTCATTCAAGGAGTTTGCCTGGGTCCAAGGTGCTCGTAGGTGGACGCGAGGCTGAGGAGCATGCGCAGGTGGGGCGCCCAGGAGCTCATTTGATACAAGGCGAATTCAGGAGGCAGAATCACAGGAGGGGCACCACAGGGGTGGTCATTGTGCTGTGGCTGCATCCATGCCCCCAAGCATCTTCTCAGCTTTCCTGTGACCAGAGAGAGAATGCCAGTTGTGCCATCACCATGTCGCCATGCTCTGAGACAAGGAGATTGTCAGGAGACCAAAGGCCTGCTGCACACAAGAGAGGAGAGGTGATATCTAGGGACCCAGATAATGTGTCTCTCACACACACTTGGTGGTACAGTCAGCTCTGGGTAGACCCTGAGGATTGGGCACACAACCACACACAGAGATACACACAGGGCGCTACAAACACAGTCACAGTGCCCACTATGGTCATGTATACAGTCATACACAGAGAGAGGTATAGAGGCACACCATTGCCACGACAAAGAGACAGACCAACAAAAGGGTTGCTGGACAGTCACAGAATCACCAGTAATGAGGCACAATCACCTATACACACAGTGTCATGTTCTATCACTGACACATCAATGGTGGGGGACAGTCACACCCATGCAGCTCAGAGACACAGGGTGTTACAACACACACCAGTGGTTGGATATGATCATGCACGTGGAGTTCCACAACATGAGAGAATGTCCCAGATTTGTCAAAGTCAGACCCGTTGGTATCATTGCTGGGACACAGAGTCACATGCAGAGACATACAGGGTGTTGTCATAAACATAGTGGCACACACACAGACACAGAGACTCATACAGTCACAGACACACTTTGGAAGTCAGACCCACAATCACACAAAAAGATATGGGGTGTCTCACACAGGAACATGTGTCTCGATGGGACACAATCATTCATCCACAAGTCAGTGTCACACAGATGTCACAAACACAGTCGACCCACTGGTATTCAATCACACACACATTAAGGCATGGGAACAATCATGGAAGTGTTGACACACATATTGCCAGCCCCTCTCAGTTGTGGGACCAATTCCACTCTCCCCACGGTCACAGATATCTAGAAGCTGGTACAATTACAGGTGCACATGCAGCTACTGACATGTGGGCACACAAGAACTCACACGCACGCACTCTGACGCTCTGTTACACACACTAATGCCCAGACTGGCCTGACTCACACTGGCACACATTGGGACCATCCCTGACCCACACTCAGCCATATGCACACCTACACACCTTTGCTAGAGTTTTGAAACACTGCAAAAATGCATTTAAAAGCCTTACACTTTATTACCCGAATGCCTCTGTCTCACACACACACACACACACACACACACACACACACAGCTGCCCCAGAACACAATCATGAACACACACAACCCCACAGAACCCTCAGCCCTTGGTGTGGGTGACCCAAGGAGTCAAACCAGAATCCATGCCCTCCCAGTTGGTGAGGGAGAGAGGGGTGTTGAGAATAAATCCCCATAAAAACCACAGCACATACTTATATGGCTGTTCTGCATAGATTAATTCAATTAAACCTAAAAAAAAATCCTATGAGATGCGTGCAGGATTGATAACACCACGGTCAAGGGTTCATCCCGTTACCGGCTAGCCGTCCAAAAGACAAAAACAAACGAAAAAAAACCCTATGAGGTTAAGTATTATAATTAGCCCATTTCACAGGTAAGACAGTCGAGGCAGAGATGAGTTAAGCACTAGCCCAGAGTCACGGAGCTAGATTATCAGAGTCTGTCTCCTTCACTAATGTCAGCCCTGGATCCTCAGAGCCTAGAACTGCGCTTGGTACACAGTAGGCACTCAATAAATGTTTGTCGAGAGAATAAAGGAATCCACATCTCTTTCACCTTTAATAATTCACCCCGTCATTTCAGGTGGGAAAACTGGAGTGTCCGGTGGAATTCGCGAGCCTCCCAAGTCCACGTCGAGAGTGCGGCTCGTTGTGAGGCGGGGCCAAGGCCCATCCGTCTTCCTATTGGTGCTCCTCCCTTTGTGGGCGGGGCCTATCCAAACCGGCTTCCCAATTTGCCTTCTCCCTGGCGGCCCGTAACCCGGAAGCTCTCTGGGCCAACATGGCGGCGCCCAGCGGCAAGACGGAGCAGGTCTGGAGTCTGCGGCCCGCCGTGTGATTAGGTAGGTCGCGCGTGGGAAGGCGAACACAATCTGCAGCGCCCCGGGGCGGCCCATTCTGGGTAGGGCAGCACAAGAAGGCAGCCCCAGAGGTACCCGGCTGCAGGGCCAGGACGCCATGACCTTTAGGGTTGCGGGGCGGGGACGTGCCGGGAAAGGCCGCCCGCCGCCTCACGCCTCTCATCACCCGTTTTGCAGATGAGACAACTGACTCAGAGGGTTAAAGCCTTCGCCCGAGGTCACACCTCTAGTTGGCAGCGAGGCGGGAATTGGAGCTCGCGTCTGCCTATTTCTCCCAAGGGACCCAGAATCCTGGGTTCAGCTTTGTAGATGTTTTGTAGAAATTTAGCGCTTATTCCCATTCAGTTAATATTTGTTGGGTATCTACCATACGCCAGATACTGTCCTGGGTGCTGGAGACACAACGATGAGGAAGACAGGCAAAAATCCCCCATCTCCTGGGGGAGCCAGTTAATCACAAAACAGGCGATTTCAGATATTGATAGTTGCTAAAAGTACAGTAATCAGGGTGATGGGATCTTTTAGAATGGGAAGAGGAGGGACGGTCAGAGAAGACCTCTCATTTGAATAGAGACATGAATGATCAGAGACAGCAGTGGGAGGCCTGGAGAAGGAAGGTTCCAGACAGAGGGAAAAGCGGTGCAAAGGTTCTGAGAGTGGAATAAACTTGTCTTGTTTCAGAGACAGTGTAGTTGGAGCTGCCAATGGTAGGAGTTGTTTGGAGGAGTACACCCTGTCTGATTTTACTTTAAGTGTGATTTATACTATTAGAGTTTTTAGGCAGAGAGCACTGAGTTTAGTTTACATTTTTATGTGTTTTGTTTTTGTGGTTGGCCTGTATGAGGATCGGAACACTTGACCTTCGTGCTGCAAGGCAGCGCTGTAAACAAGTGTGCTAACCGGCTAGTTTACATTTTTAAAAGCTCCCTCTGGCCACGGTGGGGAGAACTGACTTAAGGAGGTAATGGCAGAAGTGGGAGGCTGGGTAGGTGCACAGGAAAGAGGTCATTGATTGGGGTGGTGCCCTGCAGATGGAGAGAAAAGGGTACACATGGGATGGGCTTGGAAGTAGTCATCAGGACTAGTTGATGGATTGAATAGGGGGAGTGAGGACGTAGTGGACTCAGAAAGGATTCTTAGGTTTGTGGCCTGAATGCCTAGGAATGATGGTACCATTGGCTAGGATGGAGAGGAAGAAGTTTAAGCAGGGATACCAGTATGGAGCAAATTGAGTTTGAGATGGCTGGATGTATGCCAAAGTGGCAGCTAGGTGTGGAAGCTGGAGATCAGGACTGGAGATGAACATTTGGGAGCCAATCAGCACATAGATCATTTTTCAGACTTTAACAAGGGTCTCAGATGTCTTCTATGTGTGTTAAAATGCAGATTTTGATTCAGTAGGTCTAGGGCTAAGATTTTGCATTTCTTTTTTTGGCAGCTGGCAGGTATGGGGATCCAAATCCTTGACCTTGGTGTTGTCAACGCCATGTTCTAACCAACTGAGCTAATCAGCCAGCAGCCAGATTTTACATTTCTAATAAGCTCCCAGGTGGTGCTGATACTGCCAGTCCCTGGAGCACACCTTAAGTACTGAAGGCTTAGATTAAGGTTTAGTCTGAGCTATGTATTAGAGTCATTCAAGTGCTTTAAAATGCTGATGCCTGAGCCCCACCTCCAGATATTCTGACAATATATCTGGGGTATGGTCTGGGCATTGGGACTTTTAAAAGCTCCTTATATGATTTCAATATGAGCTAAATTTAAGAACCGCTAGAGCTGCATACAAGAAATACAGAGAAGAGAGAAACAAATTGAATGACACCTCAGGGTAGCAGACAGACATCCAGAATGTGGAACTCTTTGCAGCTTCATTTCTCAAAATGTCACCAGACCAGGAGCAACATTACTGGGAAACTTGGTAGATGTGCAGAATTTGGTTCCACCCCAGACTTGCAGAATCAGAATCTGCATTTTTAACAAGATCCCAGGTGATCTGTCTGCACATTCAAGTTTGCACACATTGCAAACTTTAGAGAAGGAAGTAGGTCTTGCTGATTGGCTGAGAAACAGAGGTTAGGTGCGAGGAAGAAACTCAGGAGTGTTAAGGAAGCTGGGGGCAGGGTGCGATGTGTGCAGAGACACTTATCTATGTCAGATGCTTCTGAGAAATCGAGCAAGATGAGACCCGAGAAGTAACCACTGGTTTTGGTAAGGTGTTGAACACACAAAGGTCCTTTACAAGAGTGGTATCAGTCAGTGGTTGAAGCAGCAATCAAATTGGGGAGTGATCACTTGGGAGAGTGTGGTGCTGGTAGCATCAAAATCAAGGGTTCGGATCATACTTATTGGTGAAAGACTGTATGCTTTTCCCTTAAGATCAGGAACAAAACAGGGATGTCCATTCCCGCCACTTCTATTCAGCATTGTACTGTAGGTTCCAGATGGGGCACTTAGGCAATAAAAAGAAAAAAAAGGTATCCAGACTGGAAAGGAAGAGGTAAAACTATCTCTACTTGCAGATGACATGATCTTGTGTATAGAAAATCCCAAAGAATCCAATAAAAAACTATTAGAACTAATAAACAAGTTCAGCAAGTGTGTAGGATACAAGATAAACATATACCCATACTGGTCAACCACCAAAAAAAAAAAAAAGATAAACATATACAAATAAATTTTATTTCCATACACTATCAATGAACCATGCAAAAATGAAATTAAGAAATAATTCCATATATAAGAGCTTCATAAAGAATAAAATACTTAAGAATAAATTTAGCAAAAGAAGTATAAGACTTGTATACTGAAAACTACAAAATGTTGAGAGAAATTAAAGAAGACCTAAATAAGTAGAGAGACATCCCATGTTCATGGATCAGAAGACAATATTGTTAGGATACCAACAATCCCGAAATTGATCTGCAGATTCCACACAATCCCTGGCTTTTTTGCAGAAGTTGTCAGCCATTTCTAAAATTTACATGCAATTTGAGGGACCCAGAATAGTCAAAATCATCTTGAAAATAAACAAAGTTGGAAGACTCACACTTTCTCTTTTCAAAACTTACCACAAAGCTACAGTAATCAAAACTGTGTGGTAGTGGCTTAAGGCTTGACATATAGACCAATAGATTAGAATTTAGAGCCCAGAAATGAGCACTTAGATTAATACTCGATTGATTTTTAGCAAGGGTGCCAAGATGATAAAATGGAGGCAGAATAGTCTCTTCAACAAAGATTGTGAAGACAACTATCTACATGAGGTGAATCCCTTTCTCACACCATACACAATACTTCAAAGTGGATCATAGACCTAAATATAAGAACTAAAACTGTAAAACTCTTAGAAGAAAACATAAAAGCAAATCCTCATGCCCTTGGGCCAGGTAATGGTTTTTTTAGATATAACACCAAAAGTACAGCCACATAAGAAAAAAAATAAACAAATTGGACTTCATCAAAATAAAAAACTTTTGTGCTACAAATGATGACATCAAGACAGTGAAAAGACAACCCACAGAACGGGAGAAAATATTTGCAAATCATAAGAAAATATTTGCAAATATACAACTCAATAATAAAAAGATTAAAAATAAGAAGATAACCCAATTTTTAAAATGGAGAAAGGATCTAATAGATATTTATCCAAAGAAGATATATAATGGCCAATAAGTGCATGACAGGATGCTTAACATCATCAATCATTAAGGAAATGTAAATCCAAACCACAAGATACCACTTTATACCCACTAGGATATCTATAATCAAAAAGACACAAAATAGTTGGCTGTCTGGTTAGCTCAGTTGGTTAGAGCACCACCTTTTTTTTTTTTTTTTTTTTTTTTTTAAAGATGACCGGTAAGGGGATCTTAACCCTTGACTTTTGTGTTGTCAGCACCACGCTCAGCCAGTGAGCGAACCGGCCATCCCTATATGGGATCCGAACCCGGGGCCTTGGTGTTATCAGCACCGCACTCTCCCGAGTGAGCCATGGACCGGCCCAGAGCACCACCTTTTAACACCAAGGTCAAGGGTTTGGATTCCTACACCAGCCAGCTGCAAAAAAAAAAAAAAAAGACACAAAACAAATGTTGATGAGGGATGTGGAGAAATTCCTTATACATTGCTTATAGAGATTGGAATCCTTAGGGGCTGGCCAGTTAGCTCAGTTAGTTAGAGCATGGTACTATAACACTAAGGTCAAGGGTTCGGATCCCTGTACCCAGCCGCAAAAAAAAAAAAAAAGAAAAAAGAAAGTGGAAACCTTATACATGGGAATGTAAAATGGTGCAGCTACCCTGGAAAACAGTTTGGCAGTTCCTCAAAATGTTAAACATAGTTACCATATGTCCAAGCAATTTGACTTCTAAGTATATACCCAAGAGAAGTATAAACATGTGTTCACAGAAATTTTCTACACAACGAATGTTCATAGCAGCAATAGTTACAACAGTCAAAAAGTGAAAACAGGGGTCAAAATGTTCTAAGATTAGACAGCAGTGATGGATGCATAACTCTGCAGATATACTAAAAAAAACCCATTAAATATTACACTTTAAAGGGATAAACTGTATGGTATGTAAATAAAACATAAAAAAACAGAAATAAAAACAAAAAAGGGGGCTGGTCAGTTATTTCACTTGGTTAGAGCATGGTGCTGATACAGCCAGGTCAAGTGTTCGGATCCAGCCACACACAAAAAATGATCCAGTAGGGGGTGGCTACTATAGGAACAAATTCCTGAGGATAGTGAAGGGTTTGGCTCAGCAGAACAGAGACCCTGCATTGTAACAGTCATCTAAACCTATGTTGTGGGTGAGGAAACCACTGGGGCTGGTGTGTTAGTCATGCAGTCTGGAATGTGCCCTCTGCTAGGAGGAGGTCTTGTCTCTGGTAGTGGGTGGGGTGCAAGGCTGATGCTGTTTCTTCTCTCTTGGCCAGGTGGTTGTCCAACAAACAGAGGCATGAGCTGGGTCCAGGCCATCCTGCTGGCCCGAGGCCTTGTTAGGGGCTGGGGAGGTGTCTGTGGGGCTGCCCTCATGGGAGCCCCCTTCTCTCAGGTAAGTGCCAGCAGGGCAGTCATGGTATGGGGGGAGGAAGGCCTTGGAATTTGCTCCCAGTCTCTTCAGAATCTACCCAGTGAAGCCAGTTTGGTGTGTCTGGGCTGGCCTGTTGCTCTGAGGGCCTGTTGAAGGTCCCTAATATATTTTAAAAGGTGCTAGTGCCCACATGGGTGAGGGGGTTGACTTTGAAAATAAGGACATATGAGTAAGTGGATTTGAGTGGTGACCATGGGTAGCTCCTGCATATTCTTGTAAAGATGGGAGTAGAAAATTGAACTTCCGCCTGGCTGGTTTGATCAGTTGGTTGGAGCGTGGTGTTATAACACCAAGGTCAAGGGTTTGGATCCCCATATTGGCCAGCTGCCAAAAAAAAGAAAATCGGAACTTCCTTCCAGCTCAGCAGCCGTAGATAACAGTAACGGTGGTGGTGGTAACTCTGTGCTCTACTGTGCGTTTCACTTACATTATTTTGTCTGTGGTGTTTGCTCGTCGTTGGGCATTCTAGAGTTTCCTTTCTGATCTTTGCCCTATGCATATATCATCTATAGTATTAGTTGGCTGAAATTCACATTAAATGAATGTCTTTTTTTTAACATCACCTTACCTAAGCATGACTTGGGATGACTGTTGATAGCACAGAATAGAGAGAGGAACTAAGAGCACCGACCCCAATCTTACCTGCTGCTTTGCAGCTGTGTGACACTGGGCATCCCACTTTCTCTCCCTGGGCCTCAGTGTCCTCTTCTGTACAATGGGCACTGTAAGAGCTCTCCCTCACAAGGAAGTTGTGAAGATTTAATGAGCCTCATGCTTAAAAAGTGCTCAACAGTGCCTGGAATGGAAGAATATTCAGTAAATATTGGCTCTTATGAACTATATATTTTTAAAGATGCCTTATATATAACTATTCTAATTTAACAGTCAATTTCAATTAAAATAAGAAATTTATAGAGCTGGCTCATTAGCTCACTTGGTTAGAGGGTGATGCTGATAATACCACAGTCAAGGGTTTGGATCCCCTGCCAGCCAGCTGCCAAAATAAGAAAAAGAAAAATTTTGCTATTGTACCATCTAGTGCAGGGGTCAGCAAACTTTGTCATAAAGAGTCAGATAGTATTTCTGGCTTTGTGGGCACATGGTGTCTGTCTCATCAATAGTAGTCCCCCCTGAAAAAGGTTTTGCTTTCTGTGGTTTCAGTTACCCTAGGTCAACCATGGTCCAAAAATATTAAATGGAAAATTCCAGAAATAAACAATTCATAGGTTGTAAATTGCATGCCGTTTTGAGTAATGTGATAAAATCTTGTACCATCCTCCTCCATCGTGACTGGGATATTGAATCATCCCTTTGTCCAGCGTATCCATGCTGTCTATGCCACCTGCCTGCTAGTCACTTAGTAGCCATCGGTTATCAGATTGAAAATAGTGTATGTAGGCTGCGTTACTTTCCGCAGTTTCAGGCATCCTCATTGATAAGGGGGGACTACTGTACTCACAGTGACTTTGTGCTACACTGTAGCACAAAAATAGCCCCAGGCCGTAATAGTGAATGAGCATGCTGTGTTTCAATAAAACTTTATTAGCAAAAGCAGGCAGCTGGCTGGATTTGGCCCACTGGTGGGTTGGGGGTGGGGTGGAGGGGTGGTGGTTGAGGACTTCTGTTCTAGAGGGATCTGGCATGCTCCCAGCAGTATGCACTCCTTATTCTGGGAATCAAGATCTCCTTGACCCAAGGATGGAGGGGTGGTGGTTGAGGACTTCTGTTCTAGAGGGATCTGGCATGCTCCCAGCAGTATGCGCTCCTTATTCTGGGAATCAAGATCTCCTTGACCCAAGGGAGGCACCATCGCAACATATGGGGAAACTGAGCCTGCATAGTAAAGTGGGACGTGGGTGTCATCTGGCTAAAGACAGTCAACTGAGACGCCTGCTGACTCCAAAACCTGCATTTCCTTTTTTTAACTCAGAATTTCATATAAGCAAAATATATATGTGTGTGTGTATATACACATACATATACATACATGCATATATATATACACACACACAGTTGTCATTCTTTGCAGTAGTTCTGTAAAGTCACCACATACACTGAATTAGCGAACACTGAACCTTTACTCCTAGGGAAATACAAGGTTAGGTTCCTGTGAGCATCTGGTTATAACATTTTCATTAACCGACCAGTACATAACCTTGTTTTATGTGTGTTTCTGTTGTTTTTTTTTTTTCCTTTTTGTCTTTTTTCGTGACCGGTAACGGGATCGCAACCCTCAGTGTCGCGCCCGCACCGCGCTCAGCCAGTGAGCGGACCGGTCTCTATATGGGATCCGAACCCTCGGCGGGAGCACCACCACACTCCCAAGCGCCGCACTCAACCGAGTGCGCCACTGGGCCGGCCCATGTGTGTTTCTGTTTAAAGATACCTTACATAATGTATATTTTGACATTGAACTCACAGCTAATAGCACTATAACACATGCCTGAACAAAGCTGGACTACCACATGTATTTTCTCCATAGGGCACATCACAGCCTTGCACTTAGGAACACTAGAAAGCGCTTCCACACTATGCTTGAGGACCATTTTATTTTATTTAATTTTATTTTTGGCAGCTGGCTGGGATGGGAATCCAAACCCTTGACCTTGGTGTTATAACACTGTGCTCTAACCAGCTGAGCTAACCAGCCAGCCCCTGGAGCCATTGTGAACAGCGAAGTCACCAATAAAATAATGCAAAAAACCTGCACTAAATAAACCACAGAAAAAGGCATGTGTTTATAGCATGAGAGCAGAAACCAAGAAAGCAGAGCATCCCTTGTTCGGCTTCAGCTAGGAATATAAACATTGGGTGACAAATGGTTCCCCTCACTGTGTGGGTCTTCGAATGACCGGGAAAGCATCCATGAATATTGATTTGGGGATTGTAAATACATTTTAGCAAGTGAGCAAATTTGCAGACGTAAAATTCATAAATAATGAGGATTAACTATATATATGTGTTTTTTGGTAGTTTTGTGGGTATTTTTTTTTTAACAAATGGGAACATAATCTATATACTGTTTCACACCTTGCTTTTTTTCATTTAATAATATACCTTGGTCCAGGGTTTGATCCCTGTACCGGCCAGCTGCCAACAAACAAACAAAAATAAATAAATAATAATATTTATTTAATATTATTATTATTTAATATTTATTTAATATTGGAGCTCATTCCAGGTCACAAGGCAAGACCCTCTGCAGTGTGTTTTACAGGGGCAGGTACTCTTTGTCCAAGTTCATGGCCATTTACTTAACCACTTCCTTGCTGATGGATATTTGGGCCATCATCACTGCCACCAGGGATACCTTTGTACAAAAGTCATTTGGCACTGGTGTGCTCATAGCTGTCAGATTTAAATACCCCAGATGCAGGGTTCCCGTGTCAAAGGTTGCATTTGTCATCACGGTGAATATTACCCAGTTGCCTCCCTGGAGGTTTTACCAACTCCCCCAGCAATGGCAGAGTGCCACTTCTCCCCCCCTCCCCCCAGCCATGCCAGTGTCGCGTTTTATCATACTTTGCAACGGTGCTTCATCTTGGGTTTGTAACCACAGTACCACACTTCCTCCGAGGCCCTCCGGGATGCCGCTGGCACCTCTCCCAGGAAAGAGCCAGCCCGGCAACCCCCCAGGGACACTGGCAGATGCCAGACTCCAGCAGTGGTCCTCTGTCCCCAGGTGCTTCCCCAGGCCCCACAGGGCCTTCACTGCAGCGCTGTGGCCCACAAATCCAAATTGTCGCTGGTTCCGCGGCCACCTGAGTCCCAGCGGAGGCCTGTCAAGGCCTTGGAGCTCCACGAGGAGCTGTTCAGGCAGGCGCCGGCTGGGGAGCGGGACAAGGCAAGCTTCGTACGCACCGTGCAGAACTTCGAGCAGCACAACGTGCACAAGCGAGGCCATGTTGACTTCATCTACCTGGCCCTGCGCAAGATGCGGGAATACGGCGTCGAGAGGGACCTGGCCATCTACAATCGGCTGCTCGACGTCTTCCCCAAGGAGGTCTTCCGGCCTCGCAACGTCATCCAGCGCATCTTTATCCACTACCCACGGCAGCAGGAGTGCGGCATCGCTGTCCTGGAGCAGATGGAGAACCACGGTGAGGCCAGAGGGCAGCCTCCCACTCCTGGTGCTTGGCCCCTCCATTGCTCCATGGCTCCACTCCTTTCTCTTTCCTTCCATCTTTTTCCTCTCCCTCTCTCAATCTCTTTCATCTCTGATCTCTTTCCTGCCTCCCTCTGACTTTCCCTTCCTTTCTTTTTTTGGGGGGGCGGGGAAGTGGTCCGGATTGGAACCCTTGACTTGGTGTTATCAGCACCATGCTCTACCCAAGTGAGTTAACTGACCAACCCTGACTTTCTCTTTCTAGTCTGATTCTATCCCCACTCTCTGCTATCAATTCCCTGACTTCAATTTTCCTCTGTCTCCCCACTTCCCTTCCCTCCTCCACCTCCCTCCCTGAGGTTCTGCCTGTGTCTGCCTGGCACAGGGGTGATACCCAACAAGGAGACGGAGTTCCTGCTGATTCAGATATTTGGACGCAAAAGCTACCCCATGCTCAAGTACCTGCGCATGAAGCTGTGGCTCCCCCGCTTCAAGAACATCAGCCCCTTTCCTGTGCCCCAGGAACTGCCCCAGGACCCTGTGGACCTGGCCAAGTTGGGGCTGCGGCACATGGAGCCCGACCTCAGTGCCAGGGTCACCATCTACCAGGTATCCACTTCTGTCCACACCCTTGGCCATCACCCTGGCTGGGCCCCATCATCACTCCCCTTTACTCACTCAGAGTGATTGGGTAAAACCAGTCCAGATTCCCTGGCTGAGTCCTCTGGAGATTCCTTCCCATAGCCTTTTCCTGGGCACAGCTTGGCCTCTGTGTCAGTCTGTTTGGGCTACTATGATAAAATACCCTAGACTGGGTCATTTGTAAACAATAGGTTTATTGCTCACAGTTCAGAGGCTGGGAAGTCCAAGATCAAGGCACCAATAGATTTAGTGTCTGTTGAGGGTCCACCCTCTGCTCAAAGATGTCACCTTCTCTCTGTGTCCTCACGTGGTGGAAGGGGTGAACAGTTCCCTCATGCCTGTTTTATAGGGGCACTAATCTCATCCATGAGTGCTCCACCCCCATGACCTAATCACCTCCCAAAGGCCCCACTTTTTTTCCCTCTTTTTTTGTGGCTGGTTGGCACAGGGATTGAACCCTGAACCTTAGCGTTATCAGCACCACGCTCTACCCAATTCCACTTCTTGATACTGGGTGGAAGGGGTGAACAGTTCCCTCATGCCTGTTTTATAGGGGCACTAATCTCATCCATGAGGGCTCCACCCCCATGACCTAATCACCTCCCAAAGGCCCCACTTTTTTTCCCTCTTTTTTTGTGGCTGGTTGGTACAGGGATTGAACCCTGAACCTTAGCGTTATCAGCACCACGCTCTACCCAATTCCACTTCTTGATACTGTTGCATCAAAGGTAGGTTTCAGCATATGCATTTGGGGGTGACACAGGCATTCAGACCATAGCAACCCCTGGCTCTGCTCCCACCCCTCTGCCCATGCTCACTACATGCTAGGCATCTGCTGTCCTTTCTGTTCCTTGAGTGTTCCATACCAATTCCCACCTCAGGCCCTTGTGTTCCCTCTGCCAAGAACACAATTCCCCAGGGACTTCATGTTTCTTCAGGTCTCAGCTCCACTGTTTCTTCCTCAGGATGCCCCTCCTGACCACCATGGCCAAGGTGCCACCCCTTCCCCATGCTGTGTTTGGTTCACTGTGACTCAGTTTCCCTCATGTCTCCCAAGGCCCAGTGAAGGGTCTGGCAGAGCTGGTGCTTAGCAGTGACTTGTTGAATAACTGAGTGGAGTAACACCCCAGCCCTGTTGTCCTAGGGGGTCCCCACTTATGCCAGGCCACATGGAGGACCTGAAGAGAGCCCCTCACAGCACTTGTCATCTGGTCTTAGAGGCTGACCTCAGATAAGTTTCTTTCAGAGCCACTGGTTCTGAGATGGAGAAGCCCTGGGTGCTATGGAAGCCCAGAGGGGCCAGGGCTTACTAGAGGAGGTGAGGGTGAGCCGGGCTCAGGGAGGACCTTAACCCTCTGAAATGGAAAGAACATTCTGGGCAGAAGGAGCAATATGTGCCTAGGAGGGCAGCTGGGAATCGCTGGAGTTGCTACGAGGGCATCCTTTGGCCAGGGCATGGGGTCCAGGGAGTGGGGAATGCTGGGTTAAAGAGCTTGGTTTTGAACCTGTTCATTGATGGGAAGAGCCATGGGGAGGTTTTAAGAAGAGGGACAGGGTTGGAGTTCTGTTTCTGGAAGATCTGTGATTTCCAAAGTGCCCTCTGGCAGCCATGTGGATGATGTTGGATGGGGAGATGGGCAGGAAGACAGAGGGGGAGGACAGGAGGTGACTGCAGTATCCAGGTGAGAGATCACAGAGACTTGGCCTTGAGGGTTGCAGCAGAATGGAGAGGGAGGGTAGTTTTTCATTCATTTCTTCATTTTTTAAAAAGTTATGCAAAAAAAAAGCCAAACAGCACAAAAGAGCCCACAGTGAAGAGTCCTCCTGTCCTACCCTGGTCCTTCAGCCACTCAGTCTCCTTCCCCAGAGGTGGCTGTGTCTATGTCTCCCCTTCCACAGAGGTTCTATGCATTTACAAGCAGATATATATGGGTTTTTTTTTTTTTTTTGTATACATACCCTTTGTATTTCTTCCTTCCCTTCCTTGCCTTCCTTCCTTCCTTTCCTTTTTTTTTTTTAAAGATTACCGATAATTAACCCTTGACTTGGTGCTTTCAGCACCACACTCTCCCAAGTGAGCCACGGGCCAGCCCTTATACCCTTTGTATTTAAATATTCTTTCCCCCTATCTCATTATGAGAAATATATACAGAAAGGTTGAAAACATGGTAAAGTGATCACCTGCACCACCTAGACTTCGAAGAGATCCCCCTTTCCATTTCTCTCTCTTCCAGCTTCTCTGTAGGAGCTGGGGGGTCACAAGCTTCCACCCCTCCTCTTCCTTGCAGATGCCTTTACCCAGAGACTCACTGGGTGCAGCAGATCCCACCCAGCCCCACATTGTAGGTAAGGCCCCATGCACGGGGCAGCTAGGCCTCTAAGAAGCCCTAGCCCCTGCCGGGTTCCCCCTGGACCTGCGAGGTGGGCTCCCTGGCCTTTGGACAGAGCTCCTGAGCCAGGGCACATGTGTCTCCACACCAGGAATCCAGAGTCCAGATCAGCAGGCCGCCCTGGCCCGCCACAACCCAGCCCGGCCTGTCTTCGTCGAGGGCCCCTTCTCCCTATGGCTTCGTAACAAGTGTGTCTATTACCACATTCTCAGAGCGGACTTGCTGCCCCCAGAGGAGAGGGTGAGAGCCCAGAGTGTGCATGGGGGGATTAGAGGTGGAGGTGGACTGGTGCCACTCCGAGGGCTTATTTTTTTTATTTTTATTTTTAAAGATTACTGGTAAGGGGATCTTAACCCTTGACTTGGTGTTGTCAGCACCACGCTCTCCCAAGTGAGCCACGGGCCAGCCCTACTCTGAGGGCTTATATGAGGGGTTGGGCAGGGGTAGGCAGCTGCAAAATCCTGTGCCTCTGACCTTGACTGCACCTCCTCCTGGGGCAGGAAGTGGAGGAGATTCCGGAGGAGTGGAACCTCTACTACCCGATGCAGCTAGACCTGGACTATGCAAGGAGTGGCTGGGACGACTATGAGTTTGACATCGACGAAGGTAAAAACCAGCATGCAGAGGACCCCAAACACCACACAGGATGAGGTGTGGCCTCTGGGGTCCAGGGGTGGAGCCCAGGCTGAGACACAGCTCACTTCACACACACAGACACATACAACTCATGTGCTCCAAGAGCTCCAAGCCTGAGGCCACCCTGCCTGTCATCCCTTGGTCATTTCCCCCTCCTTTACACATGTATGGAGCACCTGTGTGCAGGCTACTGGCTACTGGGTGTGACCAGGACAGACCCGATCCCTCGGGTCAGCAGGGGAACAGGCAAGTTATAGTTTTGCGAGTTCAGGGTAGGAGCATGCCACCCAGACTGGAGTGGGGGGGGTCAAGAGGGCTTCCTGGAAGAATCTGGAAGAACCAGGAGGCATCACCCAAGCAAACTGAATGGGCAGTCGAGGCAGAGCTTGTGCAAAGGTTTAGAAGCACAAGACAGTGAAAGGGAGCTTAAAGGGTCTCAAAGGGGTGCGGGCATGGGGGACCTACTCCAGCCCCCACTACACAAACTGAGAGCCCCTCTTTCCCAACAGTGGAGGAAGGCCCCATCTTTGCCATGTGCATGACGGGTGCCCACGACCAGACGACGCTGGCCAAGTGGATCCAAGGCCTGCAGGAGACCAACCCAGCCCTGGCCCAGATCCCCGTGGTCTTCCGCCTGGCAGGATCCACTGGGGAGCTCCTGACATCCTCCTCAGGGCAGGAGGAGCCACCCCCGCCACCACCAGAGGGCCAGGAGGAAGACGACAATGTGCAGCGACAGCAGCAGAGCCACAGTTGACTCTGAGCAGGCACGAGGGCACAGGCAGTGGCCCTAGGAGGCTGTGGACTGGTGTGAACGCATGACATGATCTTTGAGTGTACAGCAAATAAAGTGTTCCTGTTTGGGGCTGCCTTCCCTCTTTGGCAGAGTGGCATTACCTTCCCAGGATCTCAGCTGTCGGGCTGCCAGCGATGGGTAGTCGACATCCCCCCTCCTGTAGGGGCTGGCTACAAAACCTCAGTCTTTCCTTCTAAACGAAGTTACAAAGTTTAGTAGAAAACGGGGCATGGACAACGAGTGGGCCTCGCGCATGCGCAGTTTCCGTTCTCGTTCTCCTTTTAGTGCCGCGGGCAGTGAGGATCCATGAGAAATTTCCCGGCGGCGCGGAAGATGCGCGCCACTTCCGGTCGGGCTCCTAACAACGGGGAAGGTTGGTAAGCAGGGTGGGGGGGATGGCGGAGCGGGCGCCGGAGCCCGAGGCGGAGGCGGAGGCTGAGGCGGGCGCAGGCGGGGAGGCGGCGAACGAGGAGGGCGCG